GGCAGCTAAGGAGCCCTGGTGGCACAGTGGTTAAGTGCTCAGCTGCTAACCGAAAGGTTGATGGTTCAAACTCACCAGCCACTTAGGGGATAAAGATGTGGCAATCTGCTTCCGTAAAGATTACAGCCTTGGAAGCCCTGTGGAGCAGTTCTACTGTGTCCTATAGGGTCACTATGAGTCAGAATCGACTCCACCCCAATGGGTTTGGTTTTGGAATAGGGTGACTGGGTGGATAAAGCCTGCATTTGGGAGAGATAGAAGGTAGGGCAAGATAAAACCAAAACCCAGTGCCTTCGAGTTGATTCTGACTCATAGTTGACTCATAGCGATCCTATAGGACAGAGTAGAACTGCCCCATAGGGTTTCCAAGGAGTGGCTGATGGATTAGAACTGCCAACCTTTTGGTTAGGAGCCAAGCTCTTAACTACTGTGCTACCAGGGCTCCAGGACAAGATAAGTCAGGATTTTTCTTGGAATGGCTAAGTGGAAGCATTTGTATTGAGGCTGTTCTCATGGTCAGAAGTCTAGTAGAGGCACCCGAGATAGGAGCAAGTAGTTTGTCAGCTGGCTGCACGGCAGGGAGGTATTGCTGTGCCCGGGCTAGAGCCAGGGTTTTGAGCCAGTTTGAACCGGTTCAACCATGGCCAATGAAGTGAAACTGGAACAGACCCGAATTTTTAAAATTTGAACGAACCAGAACCATAAGTGGAAGGGGAAAAATTATGGTTGAAGCCTTGGAATAGCAGACTCGGAAGAGGCAGAGTGAGCCCTTTCAGGAGCCTAATGTATGATTAGGCTCCTGATTATTTCCAGGACTGAGGAGAGCGACACAAATTCAAAGGAGTGCAGTGGGCCACCATCTTTGAGCAGGACACCACTGTTTCTGGCTCTGTGCAAAACCCGATGGGCAAAGATTTGGTTGCTATGCAATGCATATGCTGCCTTTGTTTTCTAAGAGCGTGATTAAGTTTCTAGCCGGGCTCGATCTGTAATTTTTCCTGTTCCGGTTATAGTTCCAGTTTAACCAAATTTGAAAAACTTGGGTCTGTTCTGGTGTTGCATCCTCAGCCATAACTGAACCGGGAAGAACCAGTTGGAAGTCCTGGTTAGAGACCTGCATGCCTCTGGAGTGCTGTAAAGATGGGGCCCAGATGACAGCCCATAATGATTCGCAGTGAGTGCCAGGGCTTCTACCCATATAGGATAGGTTGAGGCAAGGGGCCACAAAACAGGTGTCTGGCTTGTTAGAGGCAGGAGAGTATCTGAGGGGAGGCTGGAGTTGGCACTCCTTGCTTGCATTTGAACTCTTATCATCTTTGTGAAAAGTTATTTAATTTCTTTGTACTCTGTTTTCTTATTAATAGTATAATCATGACTTCCTCACCAGGTGGTTGAAATAGTGAATGAAATACTGCCTACAAGCACTTAATACATATTAACTATTATTATTGTTTGCGTATAGATGTTACTCAAACCAGCTTGTGAAGGTCAGCTAACCAGTGTGCAGACTTAGCCTAAAGCACTAGTCAGGGCTCTGCAATATGATCAAAATCACCTAAACCATACTGGAGGTTCTTTCTTTCTCTTCACTAGGTGAGTTGACAGATTGTAAACAGTTACTTAGAAGTATTAGGGAAGCTTTGCATTTAAATGATTACTAAGGTATATTTTAAATAATGACCATTTAGAGACTCTCTTGATATTTTGAAAGCCAAACATAGTGCCTAGTACATAAGAGGAGCCCTGATGGCGCAATGGTTAAGTGCTCAGCTGCTAATTGAAAGGTTGGCGATTCGAACACACCCAGCAGCTCCACAGGAGACAGACCTGGTGATCTGTTTTCTTAAAGATTACAGCCAAGAAAACCCTACAGGGCAGCTCTACTCTGTCACATGGGGTTGCTATGAGTCAGAACCGACTTGATGGCACCCAATAACAACAACAGTACATAAAAGGCAATTGATAGATGTTGATTGAATTTTTTTTTTTAAATGAGGCACTATAACTATTGAACTATAGAAATTCCTTCCCAGCTTCATCAGTAATATTTACAATTAAATTGAAGATTAGATGTGGTATGGTGCGTTGAGGAAACTCTAGAATGTCCGTAGAAGAAGGTCTTTGGGACTGCATTCTGCTTGGGAGAAGGGAACTTGCTTGACCCTTGCAATGCATAGCAGGCATCCACTCTTTACCTGAGTAACCAGCATGGACATACTGCTGGAAAATGAAGCTCTTTCAACTCACTTGTCGGTGTATCCACTGTGGTAGTGGTAAGCATTTAAGAGATAGAACGAAAATATTTATTTTGAGCCAATTCTTTTTGGTTATTTGGGATATTTGAAATGGGTTAAATATATTTATTTTCTCATTTGACCCTACTCCTTTTCTACATATGACTTCTCACCTATTTGTTTCTTGAAGTAGATTGTAAAAACATAGAGAAAGGAATGTCTTAAATGTCTGTTTAACTTCATTATACCTAACACAGTACAGTATTTTTTTAAAAAAAAATATATTGTGTTCAATATTTGTTACTGAACCATCAATACTTCTCAGCTGCGCTTGCGATTTTATCCCAGCGAGACAAATTGTTTTAGAGATTCAAAATGAATAAATTGGACCAGATAATCTGTAAGAATCTTTCTAACGTTAATACTCTATGATGATCAAATCTCTCAAAGAGACATCTTGGTAAAAATAAATGGAAACACCTGAAAATGTATTAGCCCTATATTAATACACAGACAATTCTTTTAGAATGAAATTATTCAGATTAAAATTATGTATATTTACTAGTAAAAATGTGATGAGTTAATACAAAGCCTCTGGTGTTACTGAATATAACCCAGTAGGCTGTTTGGTGTGGCATGGAGTGGCCAAGGAGAGTCTGTGGTTATGGGCACAGGCTCTGGATTCACACGCTTGGGTTTGATTCTTGGCTCCACCACTTCCTGGGTCTGTTGACCTTGGGCACCTCTTGGTACCTGTTTCCTCATCTGTAAAACAGTGATAAGAGTAATAATTATTTTATTGGGTTGTTATTAAGATTAAATGAGTGAATCAGTATCTGTGAAGCATTTAAAATAGTGTCTGGCACATAGGCACTATATACATTGTCATATTCATTCTTCTTATTTCTTACAGGTTTAGCTGACTTCCAAGCAGTCCTGTCAGGCTTGGTGGCCACATAAAAAGAGATTTATGAGGAAGATTTTTCTGGGACACACATATAAAGCTTTGCTTGAAGGCCTAGAATTTAAAAACGGATTTTTTTCTTTCAATTCTCCTTTATTAAGAGAGCCTCTCAAAAAAAAGTCTAGTATTCAAGGAAAGAAATTGATGTCAAAAGTCAAGTGAGCACTATTTAACTGTGCAGAAGAAATCTCAGCCATTGAGATTTAAAGCAAGTAATCTACTACTGAAAGAGCTGCCTTTGATATAAATGGTCATTAAAAGTCCCATGGCACTTCACTGAGACTTAAAATTATTCATCTTTATCTCTTGGCAAGGGTTCAAATTTGAGATGGAATTTCCTTTAAGTGGTTAAGGCATTGATAGTCCTCTATACTTAGCACTTTTAAATAGTTGGGTTCTGCTGGAGGAGTACTCTCTTCAGGTGGTTACAGATGAAAACGTTCTCCTGTCGCTCATCCAGGCTTAGTTCTTTAGTCAATCACGTTTACAAAATGCACCTGCTGCTTTGTGTATGGTTTCTAACGCATTCCTTCTGCGAACTGTAAGTCAGCAAAATTCCTTTATCATTTTAAATCACTTAAAGTCTTCATTTTTCCATCTGGCTTGTGAAAAACTGCCTTGAGTACTCTTACTTTACTTGTACTCTGGGGAATGTTTTAAATAAGTTTCCAAAGTAGCAAAACTCAGAGAGCTCAAACAAATACAAAGTGCCAAGTAAAATGATAGCAAAGGGTGACTGGAAAATAAACCGGACTTCACTGTGATAGTAAGAACGTGGTAGTGTTTGAATATAATTCTTTCGACTTTTCTCAGGAAATCGTAATTAATTCTCAGAAAATCGTAGTCAATTCTACAGAAAAATGTTCCAAAGCCGTAGCATAAAACAATTTTTATAAAGTAACTTTCTAAAACCTGATTAAACCCTCTGTCATGGAGTCGATTTCAAACCACAGCCACCCTGTAGGACACAGAAGAACTGCCCTATAGGGTTTCCACGGAAGCAGACTGCCACATCTTTCTTCCGCTGAGCGGCTCGTGGGTTCCAACCATCCACTTTCGGTTAGCAGCCAAACACTTTAACCACTGCAGCACCAGGACTCCTCCTAAAACCTGATCTGTGCCATCAAGTCTCTCAGTGGAGATCTTTACCTATACTTTTTTGCTGTTGTTTTGTGTCCAGATCCCATTTCTTGCAATTTTCCATGGAATTGCTATGCATTGAGGACTTTGACGTATCCTGAAATATTTCGTCTTAGTTCTAGTTGGTGTTTCTCATCTCTTGTCTTCTCTGATCCTCTTCATACATGCTTTCTTCTATCAGACTACTGTTACCCGGAAAGGCCTGGGAGAGCGCGGTCCGGGTTTCAGTTTGTTTCTTTTCTCCAGTGAGCGCCGCTTTGCTATCTTTCCTGCCCGGGCGCCCAGCGCTGACAGCATCTCGGCCTGAGCGGCTCAGGCAAGGCGCCGGGGGCGTGGCCTGGAGGGGCGTGGCCTGCCTGCAGAGCGCCGCGTGCGGTCGCACCCTAGGTTGGCGGCTCGGAGCCGGCGGCGGCGTCTGAGCTAGGTGCTCGCGCGCTTGGGCATATCCAGCCGGTCTTTTCCCGCCGCGCAGCTCCAACTCGCCTCAGCTGAGGAGGGAGACCTGGTGGCGCTGAGCCGAGGAAGCTCGTGCTTCAGCCTCGGGGCTGCTCGGGAGAAAACGCAGTCATCCCAGGTGAAGCCGGTGCCGGACGGCGGTCCGAAACGCCCGCCGCCAGACCGCACCCCTTTTGCAACCTCGGCTGCTGAGCTTTTTCCCCCGCCTGCAGCGCAGTGCGCGGGGAGAGTGGTGTCCACTGCGGGGAAAGGGGTGACCAGAACCCCGATGATGGACGGACAGAACTGGCGCGTGGGCTTTAGCTGTCTCCTCCTTCTGGCTCTCGTTGGGTCTACCCGGAGCGAGGGCGTGCAGGGCTGCGAAGAAGTTCGGAAACTTTTCCGGTGGCGGCATTTGGGGGCTGTCAAGGGGCTGCCGGATTCGCCGCGGGCAGGTAAGGCGCGGCAGACTGGCCGAGGGCGTGCGTCTGGCCGCGCTGCGGGGGCGTCCTGAGCGCGCGCTCTCTGCCACCCTCGACTCTCGGGGTGCTTGGTTCTTTGCGGGAAGATGACCCTTCAGGTCCTCCCGTCGCGTAAGATGAATCCCGGCGAGGCCTCGGGGATGCTCCGGGTGAACATCCCGAGGGCAGCGCGGCGCAGCCCTGGGGATCCCCTCACTACGCCCGCGGCTAAGCCGAGTCTGGGCCTCTTCTTCCTGCCCGACCCCCCAGTCTCGGATGATGCGTTGGGAGAAGCTAGTAGAGCAGACGGCGGGGGACAGCGCGTCCTGACCGCGTTTCTCTTCCGAGTGGGAATTTCCGCCGGGGGTCCTCGGTTTGCTGCTTTCCGTCTTGGTGGACGGAGTTGGGTTAGTCGCCCCAAGTTTGATACTAAACACGTTATATATAACCTGCGTTATACTCTTGCTGCAGCAGGCGGGAGACGGGTACTGACAAGGGCAGCTGGTCTCCTCAGTAGTTAGGACTTGGACCCCGCGCACCCACATAGGCGTGCACCCTTAGCTGCCACGCCGTGTCCTGGCACCAAGCCTTGCTTGCAGGAGCCCAAACTGCCCGGTTTGTCTCCCAGAACCACAGGGAAGTTTCAGCGCCTGCAAAGTGTGACAGCAACAGGCAGTTGAACGTATTGGGGACCCATGTAACAGGGATGAGATTTATCGGAGTGGAGAGGAAAAATGCAGTTAAAGTGTGACCAGTGTAGATTATGCTCCCTGTAAACGTTTTTTGCCTATACTTTCACCCTCTGCTCCCCACCCCCACCCCGATCACGCAAATTTGTTTCTGCCGTCAGGATTTCCAGTTTACGTTTTCTTCCAGAAAAATAGGTTTTAGTTGTCAAACGCAATAATATTATCGTGTTGGGAACTAACACCTTACTGGGAAGCAGTGCCTCTCTTTAGCTGTGACTGTGAAGCCAACACAAAGACAATGTCGTGAGATTATTGGTCGAACAAAGAAATTGTGGAAGATACTTGCGTCTAAAAAGCGACCTCTGCCTGAGTTTTCAGGGTAGGGAGACTTGCCCTTGGTATTGCTGAGCTGTAGCGGTTTTTGCTTGATTGCTTCGCTGGTTGTGAACTTGCGTTCAGTTCTTAAGTCATCCCAGGAAGAAAATCTGGGCACTTGGGAACGTTCAGTCCGTTTTAGCTTACATGACCAGCCTTTTCAACAAACACAGAAATGTTTATATCAATTACTTAGGATGGTACTGGGTGCGTTTTCTAATATTACTTGAAAAAATATAGTTGATATTCTCAGCTTAGCGCAATTCTTTCTCCTGCTCTCAAACAATAGCTCTCCCTTCCAAACCTTTTTCTTATTTCAGTGCATTCTTTCATTAAAAAAACCTCATTTATCAGCTGCTGATAAAACTAAAGTGCATGTTTGTGGGGAAGGGGGGTGAGCTTGTGAAATCCTCATCTGCGTTATTAGATTTTGCCCCTTAATACTAGCTGATATATGGTCACTGAATGTTAGCAGCTCTGAAATAAAGCCTTGATTTCACCCTGCTTCCCATATTTTAGTATTTTTGGTACTTGCTGAATGCTACACATTGACTAGAAGGTGTTACAGTCCTAAAACCTGTGTGTGTGTCATCTGTTTTGAAGAGGAACTTTCCAGAGTGTCAGTCACTGGAATATCATTTTACCAGCGCTAAGGGAAAACCGAAGCTCTGCTGTATGGAGAAGGAAATGGTTGTACTTATTTGGGTTTGATACTCATGACACACACAAAAAATGCCAGGATGGCAAGAATCTTCCAAGTCGTTCTGGATTGTTTCTTCATTGCTATTATCTCTATCTGTGGTTTACAGTGATGGAGAAATCACAGCAGCACACTCACCCACTCAGGGGCTTACAGGACTGCATTCTCAGACCCATCAGTGGTGCTCGGAAAAGCAAATGCTAAATTTCTTTTGCATTAAGAAAAAGTCACATGGAAGTATTATTTTGAATTAAAGTAACTTACTACAAGGCATTCACATAAGAATCTGAGATAATTCTGACATTTTTCTCATCTCTGTATTGCTGGCCATTCTTTTATCTGAATAATTAAATGGAATATTAAACTGGTGATCTTTTCAACATGATGTATCTCTTCTTCCTATTTAAAAAAATCTTATTTCCAAATTGAGTAAACCACAAATATCATATGCTTCATAAATACTTTTCTTCATTTTTGCATTTATATATGATCTGTAACATTTAGTTTCCTTTAATATAGTACTTGGATATCTTATTTTCTAAAGTTGTCCTCAATCTCAAGAGAGAACATAGTTAATATTTATATAAGTAGTCATTTTCACAGGTGGATGCATATGTTAATATTCTTTTTAATAAATGTAATTATTTAGCACATAGCCTCTCCTTGATTAAAACTAATTACATTTAACTTTGATATTTGTTTTTCTTGGAAGTATATTTTTTAGCACTTTCTCGAATTTCTTGCCCACGAGTGGTTAATTCCTGAGCTGTGTAGCCCAAATGCCATTTTTATACTATGAGCAGGTAAAATAACTTTTTACCTTTTCTCCTGCATTTATGACTTTCTACATCTCCTGAAAAATGTTATCCAATTTAAAATTATTAAAATGGTGAGAAGAGCAGTTTAAACTGTTCTTAGATTCCCCTCACCTTTGTTCTCTACTCTGCTCCAATTCTTTTAAGCCTATTGAGCTCCTAAGGATGTTTGGATGAGAAATGTAAAAAAGGAGAGAAGGTGTAAATGTGATTGGAATTACAGATTTCCCTGTGTTCTGGTTTTATTTCCTAAGTGGTAGTCAAGGTGCCCTTTGCTCTTGTTTATTTTATTCAGGAAAAAAAATGTTAGTGGAAGTGTCTCTTGAGGGTCCTTTTATTTTTGCTTTATTTATTGGGGAGAGATGATAATGCTTTCCCATTGAAATTCTTTTCACACCTGCATTGTTCACACATGCATTATTTTCTCTTTTAGAATATAATTCCGAAAGGGGAAGCTCATAAAAAGTCCAAGACTGTATTGAGGATTTGTTTTACATCTAGTAGTTTTTAAAATGTGGGTGTTTTTGATACAAAGAGTATTTTGTTAAGGATAACTTTTCCTTAATAGCTTTTGGCTATAAATGGGATAATAAAAATAACTCTTGATGCGGCAACATGAAATTCTAATACTATAGGACATTTTAAGTAGTGTTCTATAGTTTTTTTTTTTTTTTTTAAACTGCTTTCATTATAATCAGATCTTATAATCACTGCAAGGATAGGGCTGTCTCTTTCTCATACTCAAGAGAATGTTATCTAGCTTGGAGTTTAGAGATATGGACCTCCGGGTTTCAAAACTTGATTCTGCCACTTGTAGCTCTGTGTCCTAGATCAATCAGTATCATCTTTGAATCTGTTTCTTCATCCATAAAATGAGAATATTCTTAAAAGATTGTTGTATAGATGAAATGAAATAACGTATGTAAAATATTTAGCACAAATCCAGGCACAGAGTAAACCAAAAAACCAAACCCGTTGCCGTCAAGTCAGTAGCAACTCATAGCGACCCTATAGGACAGAGTAGAACTGCCCCCATAGAGTTTCCAGGGAGTGCAGGTGGCCTCAAACTGCTGACCTTTGGGTTAGCAGCCATAGCACTTAACCACTCCGTGACCTGAGTTTCCAGGGCTCAAAAAAAAAAAAAGTATTTTTAAATTGTGCTTTAGGTGAAAGTTTACAGAGCAAATTAGTTTCTCATTCAACAATTTATACACAAATTGTTTTGCGACATTGGTTGCAGTCCCCCTGATGTGTCAACACTCTCCCGTTTCCCACCCTGGGTTCCCCGTTTCCATCAGTCCATTTTTCCTGTCCCTTCCTGCCTTCTCATCTTTGCTTTTGGGCAGGTGTTGCCAGTTTGGTCTAAACTTGATTGAACTAAGAAGCACGTTCCTCACGTGTGTTAATTGTTTGTTTTGAAGCACGTTTCTCACGTGTGTTAATTGTTTGTTTTATACACCTGTCTAATCTTTGGCTAAAGGGTGGACTTCAGGAGTGGCTTCAGTTCTGAGTTAGCTGGTTGTCTGGGGCCCAGTCTCTCGGGGTTCCTCCAGTCTGTCAGACCAGTAAGTCTGGTCTTTTTTTTTTTTTTTTCTTTTGTGAATTTGAATTTTGTTATACATTTTTCTCCTGCTTTGTCCAGGACCTCTGTTGTGATCCCTGTCACATGGTGGTAGCTGGGCACCATCTAGTTCTTCTAGCTCAGGCTAGTGGAGGTTGTGGTACTTGTGGTTCATTAGTCCTTGTACTGTTATTTCTCTTGCGTCTTAGGTTTTCTTCATTCTCTTTTGCTCCCAATGGGCTGGGATGTATCTTAGGTGGGTGCTTGCAAGCTTTTAAGACCCCAGATGCTAGTCACCAAAGTGGAATGTAGAACATTTTCTTTATCTAGGTCAGTTGGCGTAACATAGTTCATAATCACCTTGACCGTGGTTCCCAGACCTCAGCCTGAGTAATTCAGTCTCTCAGGGTGTTTGGATGTATCTAGGAAGCTTCTATGACTTTGCCTTGGTCAGGTTGTGCTGACTTCCCCTATATTGTGTTCTGTTTTTCCTTTCAACAAAGTTAACACTTACCTACTATCTAGTTAGTGATTTCCCCTCCCCAACTGCCTCCTACCTCATAACCATCAAAGATTGTTTCTTTTTGTGTGTAAATCTTTACTTGAGTTTCTACAATAGTGGTCTCATGCGCTATTTGCCATTTTGTGACTGACTTATTTCACTCAACATAATACCCTCCAGATTCATCCATGTTGTGAAATATTTCACGTTTTCATCGTTGTTCTTTATCATTAGGTGGTATTTCATTGTGTGTGTGTGTACCATATTTGTTTATCCATTCATCTGTTGATGGACACTCAAGTTGTTTCTGTCATTTTGTTATTGTGAACAATGCTACAGTGAACATGGGTGT